ATTTAGTTGAAATTGAAATGAAAAAGGAAACAAATACAAACAAAGACAGTTTCAGTATTTTTGTCCTCGACTGGATTTTGTTCTTAATTTTGCGTTTTAAACTTTAAAACTCCTCGTTTTACCTCCGAATGAAGAGTTATACCTCCTTTTTCTTTTCTTTTTTTACTGCAATTACACAATAGAGAGAGAGGAGAGAGAGAAGGAAGAGAGACAGACGATGAAGAAAGAGAGGGAGAGGAAAGAAAGGGAGAGAGAGAGATAGAGAGGGAAGAGAGAAAGAGGAAAAAGAGAGAGGAAAGAGAGAATAAGAAAAGGGAGAGAGAGAGAGGGAGAGAGTGGAAGATAGAGGGAGAGAGGAAGAGGGAGAAAGAGAGAGAGAAGAAGAAGAAAGAGGGAGGGAGAGGAAGAGAGAGAAGAAGAAAGAGAGAGAGAGTGATGAAGAGAGTGAGAAGAAGAGAGAGAGTGAGGAAAAAGGGAGAGGAAGAGAGATGAAAGAAAGGGAGAGAGAGATAGAGAGGAAAGAGGGAATAAGAAAGAGGGAGAGAGAGAGGGGAAGAGAGAGAGAAGAAAGAGAGAGATGAAGAGAGTGAGAAGAAGAGAGAGAGAGAAAGGAAAGAGGGGGGAGAGGAAGAGAGAGGGGGAAGAAAGGGAGAGAGAATAAGAAAGAGAGAGAGGCAGAGAGGGAGGAGGAGTGAGAGGAAGAGGAAGAAAAGGGAAGAAAGAGAGAGAGAGGAGAGGGAAGAGAAGGATGGAGAGGAATATATATAGAGCGAGAGGGAGAGAGAAATGAAGAGAGAGAGGAAGAGGGGAAGAGAGAGAAGGAGAGAAGGAGAGAAAGGGAGAGAGAAAGGGATGAGAGGAAGAGAGAGAAAGCAGTCCAGTTACAGATAAAAATTTTTGTCTTTGTCCAGTAAATACAAGATCGATTAATCGTTCGTTTGTGTCTTAGTTGAACCAAAATGTGTCAAATTTCACAAATATAATCCAGATTTCTTTGGTTCAGCAGCAGAAATGAAACGTGAGTGAGCGGAAGAGTTGGAGTTTTTTGTTATTTCTATATAAAAATTCAGTAGTAGAATCTGTTTTTATGCAAGAACATTTCCGTCGTTCGTTGTTTCTCTGTCGGGTTTTTTTTTCTGCATAAATATTCAGGTTTTTTTTTTTGCGTGAGCCCCCCCCCTCCCCCTCGAGCTTTAGCCACACCCCCTTTTTAGTCGACCAATCCATCGGCAGCGCAGCATCAGTCGACCCCCCGTAGAACTCAAAGTTTTACCTGGAAACGTCTCCCGGACTGTTTCAGACGTTAAATGTGTTTGGATTCCCGTTTCCGTGGCGTCTCGAGTCCCGTTTCCGTGGCGTCTGATTTATTTTCCGTGGCGTCTGATTTATTTTCTGTGGCGTCTCGAGTCCCGTTTCCGTGGCGTCTCGAGTCTAAACGCGGCAGTGATTTGAGATTTGGGCTCAGACTTGTTTTCGTTGTTTCTGGGTCGGAGCGAGCGCGCCCAGTCTGGTCCGACCTGTTCCACCTCATGCTTCTCTCGCTCTGAAACGGCCCGATTACTCCGGTCTTTACTCAGCTTCACTGACTCTCGCTGAAACACACGACTCATTTTAGACTAACTTCTGGTTTTTAAAGCATTTCAAACTTCAGAGCCGCTCAAAGTCTCTTCTCAAACTTTGGACTGTGCTTCCTCCTCATCAGAACCTCTCCCATAAGTCTAGTTTAAAGTCTCCTGAAAAACACACTTGTTTGATATGGCTTTTATTATATTTTATTCATTTTATTTTAGTTAATTTTGATATGGCTTTTATTTTATTTTATTTTATTTTATGTTTGATATGGCTTTTATTTATTTATTTTAGTTTAGTTTAGTTTGATATGGCTTTTATTTTATTTATTTTATTTTATGTTTGATATGGCTTTTATTTTATTAATTTAATTTAATTTTAGTTTGATATGGCTTTTATTTTATTTTTTATATGCCTTTTATTTTATTTTATTTTTTACATGCCTTTTATTTTATTACATTTTTAATATGCCTTTTATTTTATTTTATTGTATGTTTGATATGCCTTTTATTTTATTTTATTTCATTTTATTTTTGACAGAGTTAATGGACAAACATGACACATGAACATAAACACACCAGACTGTAGGGGTCACAGGGGCCAAACAATATATATAAAAAATATTGCACAGTTTCCATTATTGCACAGTTTCCATTATTGCACAGTTCTCAGTCCAGCGTCACAGTTTAAATAACGGAAACGGGAGTCGTTCTCTTTGGCTTTGGAGACAAATAATGAAGAAAATTATTGTTTTTTCATTTTCATATTTTTGGTTTTATTTTGAAAAACGAATGACCGAACGACACATGGATTATAAATAAACTGACTTGGATAATTTTCAATATTCACTGGTATATATGAAGTAGTTATGGTTCTGGAGTGCGGAGGAGGACACTCGTGTCTTTCCACTCTGATTGTGAACTGTGTCGTGCTGAATAAGTGACATTTCATTAATTAAAGGTTTATTATCATTGTAACTGTGTAATTTGTGCACGAATAACCTGATAACGGACAGTTTTTATCAGACTTTTACCAGAACTGAAACCAGAACTGAAACCAGGACTAAATTAGGTCTAAACCAGGACTAAACCAGGACTAAACCTGGACTAAAACAGGTCTAAACCAGGACTGGACCAGACCTCTCACACGGCGCCTCCTTTTATTATTTTATTATTGAACATGAGTTTATGATTTACACTTTACAATCAGATCAGAGTTCAACTGCAGCAAAAACTTCACAGTCTATGTAAAAATAATAATGCTTTGGATTAAACACACACACACACAGATAAACACACACACACACACACACACACACACACACACACACACATACAGATACACATACACAAAGTCTTTTACAGTATTTTTCACTAGAATCTGGTGAAGCGTCTCCCAACTCTGAGCTTCCAGACGATGAGGACTCCACAGATCCAAACAATTTTTTGTTAATTAAAAAAAAATAAAAATAGACAAAATTGTACTTCTGGGATGTTGTGAATGAGTGAATATCAACTCAAAAAGGTCTGTAGGTCCTTTACTGAGCTTCACTGGAAAATATTTTAATCTCTTTGGTTTTAGCGTCACCAGATTCACCAACACCGAAATAAGGAAACATTTTCTCTGTGAATCTGTGTTTGTGAGAGCAGATCAGAGACATGTCACCAGCGTCAAAGAAAAACACTTTCCCTTCATCACAGTCCAGTCGAACTCGGATCCTCTGAGGTCTCCTCTTCAGGGACAGAGATTTACCAACAACATCAGAATATTCTCCATTTTTAAGCATTAAACACCAGAATCCATTTTTTGGAGTGATAGATCTCTCTCTCTTCCTGTCGACAGATTCTTTGGCCAAACCAATGGTCCATCTCAGATGATCTCCCACCTCCACGTCCCACTGGTGAGAGCCAGAGCTGAAGCCCTCACTGCCCAGAACATTGGCATATTTAAAGAATCTCTCTGGATTTTCAGGGACCTGTTGTTCAGTGTCTTGACATCTCACCCCCCTCAGATCCTCAGACAGATGGATCCGTCTGCCTGCAGTGTTTGGGTCCAGAGTGACTGGACTGTAGCTCACCAGGGCTCTCATCTTGTTCCAGGCGTTGAAGGCCACGTTGGCCAGGACTTTGGCCTGGTTTATCAGGAGTCCTGGTCCCAGCTGTGGGCTGTGCTGTGAGAGCAGAGTCTGTGTGTCTTTGTGAGTGTGTCTGTACTGTGTGAGAAAGTCCACGCTCTGTCTCTGCAGTAGATCTTCCACAGTCTGGAGGTTCTGCTCCATAGTACACAGCTCCTCCCTGATCTGCTGTAGCTGTGCTTCTATGGCCTGGGCCTGTCTGCTCTGCTCCTGTCTCAGAGCTCTGAGCACAGACTCCTCCTCCTGTTGGAGGAACCGGTGTAACCGCTCAAACTCCGCCCTGATGTGGCGTTCACAGAGCTCCACCTGCGCGTGTGCCAGCTCCTGTATTTGCTCACACTGAGTGTGTGCGTGTGAGGCCTGCTCTCTCCTCTGGGACAGAGACTGCTGCTGTGAGCGCAGCTGCTCCTTCACTTCACTCACAGCTGAGTCCACAGACACCACCTTATGCCCCGAGTGAAGAGAGAACTCACACACAGGGCACAGAGGGCGCCTCTCGTCCAGGCAGAACAGAGGAGTCTGCTCTGGGTGTGAGGAGCACACCACAGGCCTCTCTCCTCCTGGAGCCTGCTCCTTCTGTGTAAAGGACAGAGTCAGTTCCTTCAGAGCAAAGTTCACATCTAGATGTTCTTTTGAGGACTTCCTGCGACACACGGGGCAGGTCCTGGTGCTGTTCTGGTCCCAGTAGTTGTGTAGACAGACGGAGCAGAAGCTGTGGTGACAGCCCAGAGACACTGGCTCTTTAAAGGTCTCCAGACAAACAGGACAGGTCAGAAAGTCCTCCACTGCAGAGATCTTCTCCATTTGAACCAAAGAGTCCAGACTCACACGGCTGTGTCCTCTGTGTCCGACGCCCTGACAAACACTGACTCAACACTTCCTCATTACTCTGAATGAATCACTCACACCTGAGAGGAACAGCAGCAGCAGCAGGGGGCGCTGTTGCTCCATTTTACATTCCACCACATCATAGTTTATTCACCACAGGAGCGTCCATTAAATTACTCTTACTTGAGTAGCAAATACTTTTTACTCTAGTCATTTCTTGGACCACTACTTTGTTCTTGTACTTGTGTCATATTATTTTAAAGTGTTACTTTTATTTAAGTACAGTTTTTCCTCTGCTGAGGTTCACTGAGCCCAGTACATTATTTTACTACAGACGGGGGCAGCTAAATGAATATTGTTAAAATACAGATTTCTGGTGACACAAATCTTACGTCTTGTTGTTAATAAAACTTATCAGGCTGAACATGTGTGTGTGTGTGTGTGTGTTTGTGTGTTTGTGTGTGTGCAGTTGTCTGGAGCAGAGAGGCCCCCTGCTGGTGAACCAGAGAACAACAGCTCCACAGCAGCTGCAGCTGAAGCTCCAGACGGAGGAAGCAAGGTACAAACACACTCATGTTTCACTGATGGACAGAAAGAAAACACACAGAATAGAAATGAGGGAATAAAGACTGTTTAAGCATCAAAAAAAACTCATCAACACTAAAACTCCAGAACTCAGCGGAAATGTCTCTGGAGTCTCTGGAGGCTCTGGAGGCTCTGGAGTCTCTGGAGTCTCTGGAGTCTCTGGAGGCTCTGGAGGCTCTGGAGTCTCTGGAGTCTCTGGAGGCTCTAGAGTTTCTGGAGTCTCTCTGGAGTCTCTGGAGTCTCTGGAGGCTCTGGAGGCTCTGGAGGCTCTGGATTCTCTGGAGTCTCTAGAGTCTCTGGAGGCTCTGGAGTCTCTGGATGTCTCTGGAGTCTCTGGAGTCTCTGGAGGCTCTGGAGGCTCTGGAGGCTCTGGAGGCTCTGGAGTTTCTGGAGTCTCTGGAGGCTCTGGAGTCTCTGGAGTCTCTGGAGGCTCTGGAGTCTCTGGAGGCTCTGGAGGCTCTGGAGTCTCTGGAGTCTCTGGAGTCTCTGGAGTCTCTGGAGTCTCTGGAGTCTCTGGAGTCTCTGGAGGCTCTGGAGGCTCTGGAGGCTCTGGAGTCTCTGGAGGCTTCTCTGGAGTCTCTCTGGAGTCTCTGGAGTCTCTGGAGTCTCTGGAGTCTCTGGAGGCTCTGGAGGCTCTGGAGGCTCTGGAGTCTCTGGAGTCTCTGGAGTCTCTGGAGTCTCTGGAGGCTCTGGAGTCTGGAGTCTCTGGATCTCTGGAGTCTCTGGAGTCTCTGGAGGCTCTGGAGGCTCTGGAGTCTCTGGATGTCTCTGGAGTCTCTGGAGGCTCTGGAGTCTCTGGAGGCTCTGGAGGCTCTGGAGGCTCTGGAGTCTCTGGAGTCTCTGGATGTCTCTGGAGTCTCTGGAGGCTCTGGAGTCTCTGGATGTCTCTGGAGTCTCTGGAGGCTCTGGAGTCTCTGGAGTCTCTGGAGTCTCTGGAGTCTCTGGATGTCTCTGGAGTCTCTGGAGGCTCTGGAGTCTCTGGAGTCTCTGGAGTCTCTGGAGTCTCTGGAGTCTCTGGAGTCTCTGGAGGCTCTGGAGTCTCTGGAGTCTCTGGAGTCTCTGGAGTCTCTGGAGGCTCTGGAGGCTCTGGAGGCTCTGGATGGCTCTGGCGTCTCTGGAGTCTCTGGAGTGTCTGGAGTCTCTGGAGTCTCTGGAGGCTCTGGAGTCTCTGGAGTCTCTGGAGTCTCTGGATGTCTCTGGAGTCTCTGGAGGCTCTGGAGTCTCTGGAGGCTCTGGAGGCTCTGGATGTCTCTGGAGGCTCTGGAGGCTCTGGAGGCTCTGGAGTCTCT